TTTTTTTTTTTTCCTTAACACACTAACCCCTCCTCTTCCTCCCCCCTATGTTGCTGCGGTGTACGTACAGCTGGTGGTTATTTATTTCTTCTTTTTTTTTCTTGTATTTAGCAATAAAAGTAAATAAAAATAAATAAAATAAATAAAAATAAATAATTTATTTATTTATTTATTAGTTAATGATTATTTATGCATTATTTATTCCCTTTTTCCCCTCTTTTCTGCATACATACACGGGGTGTACAGGCAGGGGGGCCCCCCCCAATTTTTCGTACCCCCCTCCTTATTGATTCTCTTTTCTTCCCCTTTTACTCTTTCTTTTATTTTTTTTCTTTATTTTATATTATTTAATTAACCTTTTATTTATTGGCAGCACATGAAGGGGAAATACACTGCAGAATAACAGCAGCAGCAGCAGCAGCAGCAGCAGCAAACTCGCGAGACACCTCAATATAATAAACAACATGAGGAGGCCCCACACTAAGGTGCTCTCTTTCTCCCCTCGCCAATCTGCTGCTTTTTTGACCCCCTCCCCTACAGCAGCAGCAGCAGCAGCAGATCCAGCAGCAACAGCAGCAGCAGCTGCGCCTGGAACGGTAGCAGAAGCAGCAAAAGCGGCAGATACTGCAGCAGCAGAAGCAGCAGCAGCAGCAGAAGCAGCAGCTGCTGCTGCGACGCATGCAGAGCAGCACCACTGTCTTGTAGATAAACACACGTGGCAGCTAAACATCCCCACCTCTCCTCTAGCTGCTGTAGATATACTGCAGCAGCAGCAGCAGCAGCAACAGCAGCAGCAGCAGCAGCAGCAGAAAGACAGCAGCAACTTAGAGACACAAATGCCCTCCCCATGTGAGGAAGAAGACGCTTGCTGCGGTGGTGGCTGCTGCTGCGGTTGCTGCTGCAGCAGCCCTGGTGTAGGCGACAGCACGCACTGCGGTACTGCTGCTGCTGCTGCTGCTGCTGGTTCATGCGAGTGCTGCGGCATGGGAGCAGCAACAGCAGCAACAGGATGCATGCATTGGGCAGAAGAGGAGCAAGAAGAAGAAGGAGACAACTGCAGCAACGGCTGCTGCTGCTGTCATCATGATGACCTTATAGATAGTAACGAAGGTCCATCTACTGCAGCAGCAGCAGCAGGAACAGCAACAGCAGCAGCAGCAGCAGAGAGGAGGGCCCCTCGTGGTCCCTTAGATAAGACAGTTGTGCTGCAGCGGGAGCTGCAGGAGTTACACCGCAAGCAGCAGCAGCTATTAGAGAGACACCAGAGGCTGCAGCTGCAGCGCATGCAGCAGCAGCAGCTACTGCAGCAGCAGCAGCAGCAGCAGCAGAGGGCAGGGAGAAGTTTAAGCCCTGCTGGGGGTCGCTCTCGTAGAGAGCAAAAGAGAGCACCATGGAACGTAAGCAGCAGCAGCAACTGCAGCAGCAGCAACTGCAGCAGCAGCAACTGCAGCAGCAACAACTGCAGCACGTGCAGCAACAACATTAGCATCTACAGCAACAGCAACAGCAGCACATGCAGCAACACTACAACCAGCACCACCACCAGCACCATCACCACCACGACGAACAGCAGCAGCAGCAACAGCAGCAGCAGCAGCAGCAGCAGCAGCAGGTGTGTCTGTGTGTCTGTGTTGCAGGGAGACATGCATGACATGGAGGGCCTAAGAGCAACAGCAGCAGATTTGCTGCTGCGGCGGCTGCGCAGCACGAGCCCTCATGCTGCTGCTGCTGCTGCTGCCTACAGGGAGAAGCTTGCTGTTATGGAGACAGACCTAAGACCTTTTGTTGCCCTATATAAGGAAAGATATAAGGGGCAGCAGCAGCAGCAGCAGCAAGAACTGCAAGAAAGACGCATGCGTGTTGCTGCAGCAAGAGCAGCAGCAAGCAGCAGCACCAGAAGCAACAGCAACAGACGATGCATGCAAGATCTTGAATCCAGCATCAATCAGCAGCAGCAGCAGCAGCATTTGCTCAGACAGCAGCAGCAGCAGCGGCACCACCACCACCACCATCACCATCACCAGCTGCAGCAGCAGCAGCAGCAGCAGCAGCAGCAGGATTTGCTGCTGCTGTCCGGCAGCAGCACAGCTCGGGGTGTACGCGGAGAAGCAAATTGCCGGCGAGGGTCTCCTGTCCCTAGGAGGAGACCCCATACAGCAACACTAAGGAGACACAGCAGCAGCAGCAGCAGCAGCAACAGCAGCAGCAGCAGCAGCAGCAGTAGCAGTAGTAGTAGTAGATACAGCAGCAGCAACAGACGAAGACACCGAAGAAGACATCGTGTTAAGCATACATGCAGCAGCTGCTCTGCTGCTGCTGCTGCTGCAGCAGCAGCACAAGCTCAGGTTGCATTTGGTGCTGCATATGCACCGCAGCTGCAGCAGCAGCAGCAGCTATTGCTGCAGCAGCAACACCAGCAGCAGCTGCTGCAGCAGCAACTGCTGCAGACTTCCCTCCCTGCTGGCTCAATTAGTGTCCCTTTCTTACCTACACAGCCACTACCGCAGCAGCAGCAGCAGCAGTTGCTTCCGCAGCAACTGCAGCAGCAGCAGCAGCAGCCTATATCGTTACAGCAACTGCAGCAGCAACCACTGCAGCAGCAGCAGCAGCAGCAGCAGCAGATGTCTGATGTTGATAAGGAGCTGCAGCTGTTAGATGAGATCCATAGACAGCTGCAGATGATAGAACTAGCAGAGACACAGACTAACGAGCAGCAGCAGCAGCAGCAGCAGCAGCAGCAGCAGCAAGTGCAGCAGCAACTGCAGCAGCAGCAGCAGCAGGTTTCCTCGACACCTTTAGAGCTACAGCCGCTGCAGGCAGAGTTGCTGCAGCAGCAGCTGCTGCTGCAGCAACAGCAGCAACTTCTAGAGCAGCAGCTAAGAGAGCTGCAGGATCAGCAGCAGCTGCTGCAGCAGCAGCAGCAACCACAGGATGGGTGTCCTAATATACAGCAGCAGCAACTGCAGCAGCAGCAGCAGCAGCAACTGCAGCACGAAGATCCGTTGCTGCTGCCAGCTGCCCCACCTATGCGTTCGCATGCACCTCCAGTTAACAGCAGCAGCAGCAGCGGCCCCACAGCTGCAGGTGCGGGCAGCATGCAGCAGCAGCAGCAGCTGCAGGCGGTGACACCGTTGGTGCAGCAGGAAGCAGCAGCAGTATTAACTGAAGCTCTGATGCCAGCTGCTGCTGCTGCAGCAGCAGCAGACTGTGCTGCTGCTGCTGCTGCTGGTAGTGCTGCTCCTACTACTGCTGCTGCCTCACCGCAGTCTGCTCATGGTAGGCAGGAAGCAGCAGCAGCAGCAGATGGCACTGCTGCTGCTGCTGGATGGACGGAGAATCTGCAGCAGCAGTTGCTGTTGCTGCAGCAGCAGGAGCAGCAGCTGCTGCAGCAGGAGATGTTTTTGCGTCAGCAGCTGCAGCAAAAGAAATCTCAAAGGTCGCAGCAAAAGGAAGCTGCTGCTGCTGCTGCTGCTGCTGCTGCTGCTGCTGCTGCTGCTGCTGTTGCAGATGCAGAAGGGGTGCAGCAGCAACAGCAACAGCAACAGAAGCAGCGCCCTCAAGTACAACAGCAGCAGCAGCATCGTGAGGCTTTCCTGCTGCTGCAGCAGCAGCAATGGCACGGTGTCCCGCTGCTGCAGCAGCAGCAGCAGCAAGGAAGCACACAACATCATATAGAACTTATCTTAGATGCACAGCGCTGTCTCTAGCAGCAGCAGCAACAGCAGCAGCAGCAGCAGCTGTAGTTGCTGCTGCTGCTGCTGCTGCTGCTGCTGATCCCTCTTAGGGACAATAAAACTTATCCACCGCAATTGCTGTGGAGGAAGCAAACAATGTTGCTGCAGCAACTGCAGCAGCAGCAGTTGCTGCTGCTGTTGCAGTCGCTGCAGCAGTTGCTGCAACAGTTCCTGCTGCTGCACTTGCTGCAGCACTTGCTGCTGTTGCTGCAGCAGCAGCTGCTGCAGTAGCTTTTTAGCTGCAAGACTGTGGGATATAAAAAGACTTTTTGGCTATACTTCGTTGCATGCACCAGTGCTGCTGCTGCTGCTGCTGCTGCTGCTGCTGTTGCTGCTGCTGCTGCTGCTGATTTAGGTGTAGGTGTGGGTAACTTCTCTTATGCCGTGCTGCGTCAACTGCAGCAGCAGAGGAGCAGCAGCTTGTGCTTCTGCTGCTTCTAGACACTGCAGCAGCTGCAGCTGACGCAACGAAGTGTGGGGCCCGTGCTGCTGCTGCTGCTGCTGCTGCTGCTGCTGCTGCTGCTGCTGCACTTTAGTTAGCAGAATACGCAGCGAGCAGACATGAGGCCACGCATGACTTAAAAATGATAAAGAAACGCCTGCAGCAACAGCAGCAGCAGCAGCAGCAGCAACAGCAACAGCAGCAGCAGCAGCAATAGTACGAATTGTAGTAGTAACACCAGGAACAGCAGCAACAACAGCAGCAGCAGCAGCAACAGCAGCAGCAGCAGCAGCAGGTGTATGTGTACCTTACCTGGATGTATTCTTGATGTAACAATATCATTAGCAACAGCAGCAGCAGCAGCATGAGCAGCAGCAAGCTGCAGCAGCAGCAGCACAGTATAAATAATAATTTTTTTATTTATATTGGGGCTTTTATTTAATAAGGATGCATGCAATAAATTATTTAAGGAATCTATAACAATTAGACCTATACCCTCCTGCTGCTGCTGCTGCTGCTGCTGCTGCTGTTGCTGCTGCTGCAGTAGTTGCTGCTGCTGCTGCAGCAGATGCTGCAGCACTTGCTGCAGCTCTGTTATGCTGTATATGCGAATTACTACTAAACGCTGCAGCAAATCTTCTGCTGTTGTCTCCTTCTTCTCCCCATTTCTGCTGCTGCTGCTGCTGCCATTGCTGCTGCTGCTGCTGCTGCTGCTGCATGCAGCAAGAGTTGCTCTTGCTATGCTAAGAAATCTTTGTGGATGAAATCCTCCATTACAATCAAAGAAGATGGCAGTACTTGGGGTGTATCTGCAGCTCCTGCTGCTGCTGCTTTGCTGCTGCTGCTGCTGCTGCTGCTGCTGCTGTGTATAGGAAGGAACATGTGCTAAGAAAGATGCACATAACTGCAGCAGCAGCGTCGTCTTTCCTGCTGCTGTTGGGCCCGCCACCTCTATTATGCTGCTGCTGCTGCTGCTGCTGCTGCCTATTTGTATACCTCCTCTTAATAAATTATCTAAGGATGGTAGCAGCAATGGTACACGTTGCTGCTGCTGCTGCTGTTGTTGTTGCTGCTGCTGATGCTGCTGCTGGCTTCTTTCTAACAACTCTAAACATGTTGGAGGTAATTCAACTCCTGCTGCTGCTGCTGCTGCTGCTGCTGTGGTTGCTGCTGCGAAGGAAGGAGAAGGAACAGCAGAGTTACAGGTACAGACGGGTGGCGGAATTGGAGAGCTGCTGCTGCTGCTGCTGCAGTTGCTGCTGCTGCAGCAGTTGAGGCAGCTGGCGCAGGTTCTTTGCTGCTGCATGCTGCTGCTCCATTATGAATCTACACCGCTGCTGCTCCTTTGCTGCTGCCTGTGTGGAGAGCTGCTGCTGCTGCTGCTGCTGCAGCAGCAGCAGCAGCAAGCCCTACAACAAGTTAATAATTAATAATATAAATGCATGCATGCAACACAAAAATAATTGTAATTAATAACATAAATTAAGGGGGCCCCCCAGACACCCCAACGTAGGTGGGGGGGCCCCCCCCTTGGCCGCCGCCCGGCGGCAACACACGGTGCTGCTGCTGCTGCTGCTGTTGCTGCAGCAGCAGCAGATCTCTGCTGTATATAATGAATATAAATAAAAATATATTTTATATTTTTTTATTTAATTAATTTAAATAAAAAGAGGAAATAATAAACAACGTCTTGTACAGGGGAGGCAGCAGCAGCAGCAGCAGCAGCAGCAGCAGCAGCAGCAGCGGCAGCAGCAAATGGTGTTACTTCTGGGGGTTGCTGCTAGTTATGGAGTTGCTGCTGGTTATTGAGCAGCAACAGCAGCAACAACAGCAGCAGCAGCAACAACAACAACAGGAGCAGCAGCAGCAGCATCAGCAGCATTATTTTTTACATATAAATTAATTTTTTTTTCTTTTGTTGCTCAATGGTCCAATGGTCAGACCAATGGACATATAGATCTTTTTATTAATTAATTAATTTATTTATTTATTTATTTATTTATTTATTTATTTATTTATTTATTTTATTTAATTAATTTTTTCTCCTCTTTTTCTTCTATTTAAATATTTATTTATTTATTTATTTATTTATTTATTTATTTTAGGTGTATGTACACCTCAATGAAGAGACAATGAGGAAATATGCATGCATAATTACATGCCACTAAGGGCGAACAGCAGCAGCAGCAAACAGCAGCAGCAGCAGCAGCAGCAAACAGCAGCAGCAGCTTCTTGCCTACAACGCAAGGGAAAGAAGCAAAACAAGGATAAGGATAAATAGATAAATAAAACAAACAAACAAACAAATAAATAAATAAATAAATAAATAAATAAATAAATAAATTTTA